GAAACGTCAAATAACAGGACAATAATATAGTTTTAATCCCTTTTATTGTCAGAGATTGAAGGAGTCTGTTGTTGTTGTTATTCTAGGAGCTCTACCATTACGAGGTACCATACCTGATATGACTGCTGATTCTGAGAGATATATTAAATTACAGAATATTTATCGGCATCAGGCTAACCAGGATTGTCAGAGTGTATCAAACAGCGTTCAGAGATTGGTTGAGGAACAATGCCAGGTACTTAGCAGTTCTCTACTTGTTTTTTACATCATTTCTGTATATGCTGTGTGTCAGGGCTTGTTTTGAAAAATCCTGTGCTGATTTTACCTTTGAGTGAATGAGTTTCTAAAGGAGAATAATTGAACTCAGAAGTAAAATGTTTCATAAGATTTTGGTAAAATGTGGCCCCTTTTCTTATTGAATTGTATAAATTTTTTACAGTTTTTATGTGAAGCTCTGGCCACACCTCTTTTGCCCAGCATATAGTCTATGCAACAAGAAGAGTAGCAGAGTGGTATCAGGTATTTTAGAAGGGTTAGCATGCCCTGCTTAGCTACCAATACCAACCACAGTTGATTTGGACTTGGACTAAAAGAATTCTAAGCTAATCCTGCTTCATTGTTTGAAATGTTCTGTTCTCTTAGAATTTTCCTCGTGTCATGGATTATGGATTATTTTTATCCAAGTCTAAAATGACCTTGCCTAATTCCATGTAATATTTTTTTTTTAATATCCACAAGAGTAAATCTCATGTGTCGGCACATATTTTCCTTGCCATAAAATTTGACAATAGCCTAGGATTAGGCAAGGTACGCCCTATAAATTAGTGTTTATTAAAAGACTTTCTACTATTTGTAGGATGAGCCTTTAGTAATAACAAATGATACTCCACCTCCAAACAGTTGTCTACACTCAGTTATAACCTTTTATTATTCTCTCTTCATTTTGTTAATTTTCTTCAAGTTTCAAATTTCTTATTGGAGAAAGAGCAAAAAATTTATGATGGATTGATCATCTTTAGTATTTGATCTATTGATATATTAAATGTATATTTCTAAAGCAAATGAAGGTGAAATTGATGTCTAAGAAAGAAATGGTTGACTTGTTGATTGTCAAATGAAAATTTTGAGAAAATTTGTCCATCCATTTTTAAGAAATTTGAAATTTAATTCATTTGGTTATCATTTTCATTTTGCATGTAATTCTATTTACTCTTACATGTCTACCACTGGGCTATTGCCTTCAACCATTCCAAACTTCACATATTGGTACCAGAGTTTAAAATGACTTATAAATGACAAAGTCAGGGCCATTTGTTAATTCCCTTAATTACTTTTAATATCCATGAGATATATTTTCTATGGAAGGTCAAGATGTTCCATGATAACTGATATTTGTTGGTTAAAGAGTATCTTGATAACTGATAACTCTAAAGCTATAAGAAAAGTTTATTTTGTTCAGACATGAATGGCCAAATGTCACCATATCAACAACAGCCCTGGTCCTTTCTGTTTAGTTTCATTTAGATACGCTCATATTTCTCTATATGTGGACATATTTTGTTTGCCTTAGTTTACTTCCTGATGACTTGTAACCCTCTTTCCTTGAGTTTTTAATCAGCATTTTCATTACCTTCTTATCAATCTTCTGAATCTTCATATTCAATGATAATAATTACAAAATTGTTATGCCATAGATGATAAAATAACAATATAGCATTTCTATCAAATTCAAGACATAAAAAATACCAGCCTTGTTCTAGATTTGGCTGAGGAGAATAAGGTTTATTTGGTGCCAAGGAATATAATGATTTCACAGCACTACATCATTTGTAAATAATAATCACCATGACCTATGGAATGTTGGCTAACCTCTGTTTTGTTCTGTTTACCATTATTTCTTGCATGACATTCATTGTTTATCTCTTTTACCATATTTGGACATAAAGAAGCCTGCCTAGGTAAAAATTGTGTAACTTTGAATAATTTTGAAAAATAATTGTATCTAAATTCAAAATATTAAAAGATTGTCAGCAATTAATTTGAAGTAAAAGTATTTGAAATTGTTGTGATTTGTATTTCTGATGCTGTACAATGTTATTTGGAAAGATAAATCAGCTTTTTAAAAGTTATTATCTTTGTAGTGATATACTAAAATATCAAATTTCTGTTGTAAGAAATGTATTCAGACTACTGTTTTATGAAGAAAATTCTAAACCCAGGATCAAGTATTGATCTAGGCAGGCGTCTTTCTGTATTTACATATTGAAGTTTTGGTTTGTGTATAAAATAAACTGATAGTAGATTTTAAATATTAATTTAAGATAATTCAATATTTCCATTTATTAGAATTTTGTATTTTTTCAACTGACACACAGCATATTTCTTGTCATCTTTAGAATGAAACGTGAAATTTGAATGTTCTATTTTTAGAATCCTGAGAACATATCAGAAAAAGATATCCATACATTTTGTAAGTATTTAACAATTTGAATTTCATATTATCACATCTGCAGCAAAAGTATTTTAGATAAAAAAATTATTGATGGTCTGTATATGCCAACACAGTAATCAATTTCAGAGTGTCCACATATTGCATTATTCAATATCTTTTATTACACCTAGCGATATTTCCCATCCAGATCCCCAAACAATGGCAATGTTGACAGATTTAGATTAAAAATGTGAATGATATTATATTGTTACCCTTGACCTTATCCTCTTTCTCATAAAGATCATGTTAATGTAGAGCCTAGTCATTAGCACATCTAAATTTTGGTTCTCATCACATAATGGAAGCAATGTAGTGAATTTTTCCCAAAACCTAATTTAAAAGATACAAGATATGACATGTCGTGTTTACACAATGTCATTTTGATTATGATATTAATAATATGAATCAGTATTTGTTATGTTTCAGGTCGTAATTCAGCGTTTTTACGAGTAATAAGATGTCGTAGTTTAGAAGAAGAATATAACCCACAAACAGCAAATACACCACTTTTAGGTTGGTTATCTTGATAACTTTATTACAATAAAACTCTACTATGTCTTGATCTCTACAGTCACTTCCACTAGAAGATGGATTGTGCATTAGGGAAGGGACTGGAAAGAAACTTCAATGGACTAAAATTATCGAAATTTGAAAGAATAGTAGTATCAAGTCAAAATTGAATCGCGCTTCTAGTTTTAAACATATTTGATGCATGCTGGTCGATGAACTAATAATTCTTTCTAATTCAATAAATATAAAGTTTCATTTCCCATTCATCATCTTACACCCAAGAGAAATTGTTCATGTGTATGTTCTTTATTACCTGAAGATATAGTCTAATCACACTATAAGTTACTATATAAGACAATAATCTAAAATCTAAAATATCCAATGTAAGAACTACATATAGAAGCGAGGAGCACATAAAACAAAACACAAGACAATATTATGAAATATAATACACTTCTTTAATAAGGTTGGGCACATAAGGTTTCAACACAATATACACGTGTCGTCATTACATAACATTACGTTGTCATTACATCTGATGACGACACGTGTATATTGTGTTAAAACGTTATGTGTCTAACCTTATTAAAGAAGTGTATTATATTTCATAATATTGTCTTGTGTTTTGTTATAAAATATCTAATAAAATAATTATTTGATTCAGGTCAACATCTTGAAGATGAAGAAGAAAGTGATATAATATTTTATGTTTTATTAAGAGCTGTAGATAAATTCTATGAGAAGTTCAACCATTATCCTGGTTTCTATACACAGCAATTAGAATCAGATGTTCAAGAATTGAAGGTTTGTAAGGAATTGTAACAAAAATGTTTTCAATGTTCAGATTAAGACAGTTGATGGAAAGGTTTATACATTTGTATATAAAAATTGTATGGAATAAGAAGATATTGAAATGTTTCTAAAAACCTACCCAAAAAGTTGTTTAGAATAAGAACATTTGTAAGCAATTGCATTGGTTACTTCAAATCATGTGTATATGAAGCTTATCTTATGGAACATTTTGACTGCTGTACCAAAGTGATGTCTAGAATGAAAATAGGTGACACACTGACTGTTCATACTTTGATGCAAAAAAAGACCAGTTATGTAATTGCTAAGAACTGTTAGTAAGATTTAGCAAAATCATCCAGTCTAAACATTTGACCAAACTTTTGTTACGGTTTTTATTAGCTTTTATTTTTAATATAAGTAAATATAATATATATTTTTATGTTACGTTTGTCAAAGTAACCTTTTGACTCAATGACATCTGCTATAACCAATCTAATTCTTCCCTCTAAAGAATGGGATTTTGTGACGAAGTGTTTATCAGGTTAGGTCAAAAAGTTCAAGTTGACGAACCTTCAAGAGGGCTGTCGTTAGACCCTAAATGAACTGACTTCCAGTCTATATTGGTAAGCATCAATAGTTCTCATTGTCTTTAGGACTGAATTTCTCCTGGGGTTGAATTAATATACCATACTATTTTATTACAGGTCTGTCTGAGTAAATTAATACAAGAATGGTCGTTACCACCAGTTAGTAAAGATGACTATGTACAGGAAATGTAAGTATTCAGGTTGTTGTATATTACATTCCAATCATACTGTTCAAGTTGGGTCTCCTTCTTTGAGGGCAGTCCCTGCAAAGGTCGAGATTATACCTTCGAATTTTCAACACGATTTCCCCGTCAGTGATGCAGGTAAGAGGGACAGACATGGATAGTCGTTCGGATGGGACAATAAACAAGGCCCTGTGTGCTAAAGGCTGTGCACGTTAAAGATCTTAAAGAAATTAAAAAAAGAGCAAGCTAATGCTTTGCCTGTTTTCATTAGCCTACATGGTGCAGAAAAGAAGGACGGAAAACTCCATTCACTTCATTTCATTTCGTTCTTTGAAGGAATTGCTAATGATTATATGGAGTAAGAGAAACTTAGCACTGCAAGTACTTTTATATCTATGGTTTTCAATTGGGCTTTGTTCTCTTAATCATAATAATATTTAGTGAATAATAACTGATGATGACAGTATAAATTGTTGGTGTCAAATAAAACTGTGTATATGCCATAATATTGTTTTCAGTTATTAATGATTGATATAATTATTATCATAATTTTAGGTGTCGATATGGTGCCAGTGAACTACATACAATAGCAGCGTTTATTGGTGGTATAGCAGCCCAGGAGGCTATCAAAATAATGACAGGACAGTTTTTACCCATTGATAATACCTATATATATAACGCTATGAAACAAACTTCTATCACTGTAGAATTATAGTACTCTCTTTATTTAATAATAAATATTCTCTGTCTTTCCTTTGTTGTATAACAATCATCAATTAAAGTGCACGTCTGTTAACTTCAAAATATCAAGAACTGCAAAAAGCTGTGTTTCAAATGAATTGACTGGCTTTTGATAACATTGTGTCAATTTAATATGTTGTACCACGAGCAATACTTGTTTGATTGATATTGTTTGAAATCCACGTGCTTATAATTTGTTATGGTTTTGGGTAGGATAGGATATATTTAAAAGCATAAATAGCAACTACATGTATGTGGTTTTTACATCATCGTAATGAGACGTAATTTTACAGCGTTCAGAAAGGACTCAGGATTACCCACTTCCTGAAAATGCCAAGCATATCCAAAACCAATAGAACTTAACAGTAAACGGACTTTGGTAAACCCAAACAGAATAAAGCCTCTTTAACATGACATATACTCGATTTGGGTACCATTTATAGTCTAAACTTCTGAGTCGTATCCAATATTTGATAACTTTTACCATATAATACACAGCTAATTCGTAACGACCACACTCTCCTGTGGCCCCAGAACTGGGACTGCACAACTTCTATGTCTTTTCTCTATTCGTATCCCCATATGTCTGCACCGTATAATAAAACTGGTTTAACAATACAATCAAAAATCTTAAAACTAATAGAGTTCGATCGGGTTTTTCGTAGTAAAGCCTGTATTGGAAGTAACGATTTTCGAGCTTTCGTTGATAAACTGGACACGGCTTTACCCCAGTTTAACCTTGACGAAAACAGTATACCTAGATAATTATAATAAGACACACGATCTATCTTGTTCTCCTGACTTATAATAAAATAACTCATAATTACGAACTATTCCACCATTTATAAACACGACCACTTTGGTTTTTTACAGGTATTGACTTAATGGTTAAAATAAGAGCAAAAGATTTCAAGAATAATTATTTTTCTAATTTAATCTCAGTTCCATCAGAAATATTCTAAAATGTTTCTGTGTCGATCAATGTACATAATCAGACCATCAAACCCTAAATTTTGAAACTAAGGTGAACTATTGGTATAATTCATTCGAAAACGAGATTATGGAATCTTATGTAAAATATATCTGGAATCTTGAAAAAAAAATTTAAATATTAAAAATGGATTATTGGAAAATGATTTAAACGATGCCGTTACATGTTGTACTGGCGAAATGAAATCCCAAAACGTGACAAAAAACAACCATCAGTGTCAAAACCACACACACTAGCATGAATTTTCCATCCCTCTGGAGCTATGTACACCAATCCAAGAATTATGCTTTTCTGAAGGCCAAAATACTTTACGTCAATCTTCAAATAAATTGCCTCTTTCATAAGTTCGTTAATTCTGACACTTCCAGCTGATAAAAAGAACAATTACCCCACCCTTTTCTGTTCCGTTGTCTCGAATACAATATTAATACTCATATTTTTCGGAAGTACAAATTCAAATCTATATCTGTTCCACACTATGTTTCGATCAGTCCGATAACATCGAATTTTTCCAAATAATTTATGAAATCGGGATCTTTTAGTTTTGTTTTCAAACCACTAACGTTCTATGATAAAAATGTTAGCGAAGAAATGTTTATGTGATAATCATTTAGTTTAAGGGGATTTGAATTACTAATATGTTTGTTTTGTTTACCATCAAGAGTTGCCTTCATTTATTTTAATGATTTGCTTTGAGTCAAATGTGAACACTTATTTTCTTATGATCAGTTTGTCGAATTTTAAAAATCCACTCACTGAACTGTTATCCTTCTTGGCTTGGATGAGTTTTGGAATAAGCTGTTTTCCAATGCTATGTGTTTGGGGGTGAAATCTTCTGCCACTCCAAGGTCGTTGTGATTAGTTTTAAAATGTTCTCTTAGTATGGTGTCTCTATCTTTAAATCTACTAAACTTCACAAGGATTGACCTGGGCCTAGTAGCTACCGCTTTTTTCACTTCATCCTTTTAGTCAGTTATAACTGTATAAAGATTACTTATTTCAGATCGTAATGAGTGTACAACGGTGGTCAACTCAACCATGTCGTCATTGCTAGTGAAAATCAGAAAAAAAAAATCGTGCCTTCTAGAGTGTTTACGAGCTTAAATTGAACGCGTTTTCAAGAACAAGGGCAATAACCAATACGTAATATTTTGCGATTTTTCTGATTTTCAATAGGTTCATCCTTGGTACACTCATACCAAGTTTCGTCAAAATCCGTCAAAAATTGTGCCTTCTACAGTGTTTACGAGTATTTTAGGAACAAGGCCAAAAACTCATACTTCATATTTTTCGATTTTTCTGATTTCCTTCATCCTTTGGTTATTATAAACCCTCCTACCAAGTTTTGTCAAAATCCGTAAAGAATTGTGCTTCTAGCTAGAGTGTTTACGGACGGACATGGGTGTCGCCAATAAACGTCCCGCATTTCATGTGGGCGTATAAAAGCAGAAACAGCACCGTTTTGTTTTATTATTAATTATACGCCCACATCTCTCTATGTGAACGTATATTGTCGGCACCCCTGTCCGTCCGTCCGTTTACATTTGCTTGTAAACGCTCTAAAAAACTAGATTTTTTGTTGGAATCAAATGAAATTCGGTTTGTGTATACATATTCATAAAACGAAGATCAAGTTCGAATTTGAGCTATTTTCGACCGTTAGAAGCAGAGTTATTGCCCTTGCTCCAAAATCTTGAATATGCTATTACTCTCTTAGTTTTCAACCGATTTTGATGAAACTTAAAATGGATGTTAATGGACCTAAATCGAAAGGTTTGAGAATGTTTAGTTTACTTCTGATTAAATTTAAGGCATTTTCAAGATTTAGGCCTCTTACGTCAGTTTTGAGGAGTTATCGACCTTTAACCTCTATACAGTAAGTGCTTCTTTCAACATCAATTGCTCGTAAACACTCCGTCCGCCCATCTGTCCGTCCGTCGGTCAACATTTGCTTGTAAACGCTCTATAGACTAGATTTTTTGATGGAATCAAATGAAATTTGGTATGTGTATTTGGTATGAAACGAAGATCAAGTTCGAATTTGAGTTATTTTCGACCATTAGAAGCAGAGTTATTGTCCTTGCCTCAAAATCTTGAATATGCTATTACTCTCTTAGTTTTCAACCGATTTTGATGAAACTTAAAATGGATGTTTCGTTTTAACCATCCGCATGCCGTGGTGGACGTATATGGCTGTGGTCCACTATCTTTTTTTTAATGTACACAAATCTTATATAAGATATACTTTATACAAGGTAATATAAACAAACATACAAGTATGAATTACAATAATATATTAATACAGAGTATATTGCAGTAAGACAAAAATAATTATAATACTAGAGCCACTCGTGGCACAGAGTGGGACTTTGCAAATGTAGCAAAATGCAAAAGAACCTGAAAAAATCAACCTTCCACGATAATTAGATCAAGTGCAAGAACGGTCTAAAGTTGAGAAATTTTCATTTTTTAGAAGATTGTAATACCGGAAGTGGACGTCAGACCTCACAAATGAAAGTATCAGCAGATAGCCAAGGTCAATGACCTTTGATCTTGTAAAGGAGAAGGTCTAAAAAGGTCAAGATCAAGAGATATACGCCATCAAAATTTCAAATTGCTAACGACTATGAAACCGGAAGTTGACATAGGACGGCAAATATAAAAGTATAAATAGATAGCCAATGCCAATGACGTTTGATGTTAGAAAGGTCAAGGTCAACAAAGGTCAAGGTCAAAAATTGAAAATTTTTAAATTCCAAAACCTGTTCCTTTTTTTGAACTATGAAGCAAAAACAATTGAAATTCTAAGACAAAGTGGCCCAATATATGAGGTAATTGTATGCAAAGTTCCATTTTGAACAAATGTATACTTTGCGAGTTATGCCCCTGGCCAAAAATGTCAATAATGAGTAATTTAACCCGGATGTGCCACGCCCACTTCAATTTTTTTTGCATAGGTTAATTGATATTCAGAATGTTACGTTATGTTCGAAATGTAAAGCTCCTACATATTATAGGTCAAAAGATATA